TCGTCGTCGTCGTCGTCGTCGTCGTCGTCGTCGTGGTTCTTGTTGTTGTTGTTGTTGTCGTTGTCGTCGTCGTCGTCGTCGTCGTCGTCGTCGTCGTCGTCGTCGTCGTCGTCGTCGCTGTTGTTGTTGTTGTCGTTGTTGTCGTCGTTGTCGTTGTCGTTGTGGTGTCGTCGTCGTCGTCGTCGTCGTAGTGGCAGTGGTAGCATCATGTAATAGCAGCAGCAACAGCTGGAGTGAGTAGTAGTAGTAGCAGTAGTCGTCGTCGTCATCGTCGTCCTCGTAGCGGTCGCGGTCGTGATAGGCTGTGCCCATCTAGCTGGCAGAGGCAATAACGGAGGAGGGTATCTAGTATGACAGAATCTAGTGTCAGTATTGTCGGTAGTGGTACTGGTGCAACGATCATTGACAGGACGGCTGCTAATCTTTGCTTGGTTCTCCATCTCAGTCAGTCTTGTCCGCTTTCGGTTGGGCAACCTTTGCATGCTGAGTACTTCCCTCGCCGTGTCTTGGGCCCATAAGAGTCCCCAGTCGAGGCTGCTCTGCCCGGAACAGAGGCTTCAGTCATTTGGTGTGGGTTTAGGGTTTAGGCTGAGAGTTCCTTTCTAAGGCCTTCAACTGATGTGGCGAGCAAGCCTGCGACTGCGAATCCCGTCGGACCTACTGTGCATTTCTAGATCCCGCTCCCGAAATCCTGTGAATCCAAACCTAACTTTAACACCGAAATCCGTTGAACCCAAGCTTTGAGGATCGTGTAGTCATGAGGGTCATGAGCCTTGTCATGGTTGTAGCAAGGATAGCTATTCGATCTGGGCCTCCTTCAAGACCTGCTCAGACAGTCGCCCAATCTTCCAAGCAGACCCTAAAGCCAGCCCTACACCCTAAACCCTAAAACCCTAAACCGAAGACCTCGAACCCGAAGACCCCAAGCCCTCCAAGTTGAGGCCCTTAACCCTAAGCCCTATACCCTAAAGGTTATGGGCTACCTGCTCTGGGCCTGGTTGACAGCCGGAGCTGTCTCCGCCATTGTGCACTGCTGCGTCATGCCGTGACCGAGACTCACAAGATCTTTTCTAAACGAGGGCTTCGGGTGAATGTAGAGGGTGGCGGTTAGATTAGGGGGTTTTATGAGGGCTGAGGGCTTTGGTCCAGGGTGGGTCAAGGGTTGCATGGGGTCGCCTAACTCCTCATGCCTTGCCCTTCGCGAAGGTATGTACTCATTGGAGATGCCGCTTTGCGCCGATTTGCCGACCCTGGGGGGAAAGCGAAGAAGTCTTGAAGTGGAAAAAGACAGCTTTCGCTGCTGTTGAATGTCCTCATCCTGGGAGTGTTGTCGTTGTTTCCGCCGTCGCCATGTTCATTGAGAGCATGGCCGTGATTCCGAGCATGATCGAGATAGCTTAAGTAATGAGTATCCTTGCGTTGATATTTTTGCGATCTTCGTCTCATGGCCACTGATTTAGCCTAAAATTTAGCCTTTTGACAGTCACAGCTGGCAGTCTTGGGTTTCTTGCTCCGGCATACATGTCTGGGTGCTCAAAGCTTTAGATGCAGGCTTTGGAGTTACTTGCAGTGCCTTTACCGCACTGTTGCGAACACGAGCCTTACTTCTCATCTCGTTGCGGTTTCGCAAACACACCGAAAACCTTTCGCCCTCAAGCCCAAAATCCCGAGCTCCCCCAGCCCTATTACCGCCAAGACCCCAAATGCGGGGTTCCGAACATAGGGGACCCTAATATAGCACCCCAAATAGTAGGATCCTTACCTTCGACCCGACACCTAAACCTTAAACCCTCAACCCTAATCTAAACCCTATATCCGGGCAGGTCCGCTCATTTCGCGGATCCGCCAAGGAAGCGTGCCTCCTCATCGAGAGCCGGGGCCAGGCAAAGGGGCCGGCTTGGGGTAAAAAGTTGACAAGACAGGCTGAAAACACGCGTGGTTTGGGGCTTTCCGAAAATAGGGGACCCTAATATAGTACCCCAAATAGTAGGATCCTTCCCAACATAAGGTACTCGTACCCCTTATTTTCGGAAACTCCCATATGAGTACGATTTCAAATGCTACCTCTTGAAGCTGAGGCCGCTGTGGGTTCTCGGAGCACCGGGGATGCGAACGGGTGAATTAAGCGCCATCCCAGTCTTCTACATGTTCATGTCCAGGAGAACATCCGAATACCTGGACGCACATGGGCACATGTCAAGTCATGAGATGCTGCATAATGTGATATTTTGTATCACATGCATAATGTGATATTTTGTATCACATGCAACAGCATATAGTCTCTTCGCAGCATCTATGCGGCATCCCTGTTAAAGCTGCTATATGCTGTGGAACGGAATGTCATGCCATGTCACGTCATGTCATATCATACCATGCCATGTCATGTCAGTCCACACGTCATTTCATGTCGTGCCATGTAATGCAATGTAATGGAATGCAATGTGCCGGAATGCAATGCAATGGAATGCAACGGAATGCAATGAAATTCAATGCAACGCAATGTGATGCACTGTCATGCAGTTTAAGACAGTTTAATATGCAGCAGCCCATGCTTAGAAAGATGGCACCGAAATACTCTGTTCTCCGGCTTCTGCAAGTTGATCATGTGGAGCGATCTCTAAGTTCACAGCACCTTGCTCAAAGTGCTTGATCCTTGTACTGCGGACTTCTGGAGCTTGGGTGTGCATCTCTCTGAATAGTCCACGGACTGTACCCGCCTAGAGCACGCTTACAAGACTCAGACAGTAAGTATTGATTTCACTACATTGCGATCTGGTGCGTCCCTCCGAAATCCAGGTCTAGAGATTGGCATCCGGTGTGGTATGTGTGGTGGGTTTGTGCCAGTGCATCGTAGGCTAGGGGCGCCATATCAAAAAAGAATAAACGAAAGAGAGACATAACCAAGCCCAAGTTGCAAAAAAAACTCCCGGAAAGCCGGGTGAAAACTGATAGACACGCAGGCACGCACATGCACATGCGCGGGCACACATACATACGTACGTGCACACAAGCATGCATACATGACATACATACATACATACATACATACATACATGTACATGTGTATAGATATATACGCACATACATAATATATCTACTGTTATGTACATTCTGCGAGTAATCAGTATGTAGAGGTACAGGTTCATATGTATCAACAATCATATTTGTTCACGTGCATTGACATGCACATAAGTTCGTGTGCACATGCACGTGGGTTCATACACATCTAGGTGCATGAGTGTGAGCATAGGTTTTATTTCTTTGTTGTACGCACCGTCTCAACTTGGAACGAACATAGTGTCAGGAGCCTTCTAACGCCGAAAGAAGAGTAAACACACGGCCCAACACAGAATCTCGCAGTCCTCAGCCCAACCCCTGATGCAGGCACCGATCACTGTCAAGGCACGGAACAGCAAGGACCCGCTCAGCAGTTGGGGGGTCCGGCGATCTGAGGTGCAAGGGCTGCTGGGGGGTTACAAAAAGGGTATAAAAGGGTTCAGGGTTCTTTGTCGTTTTCTCTGGAAGGAGCGCGACGAGTGGCTCGATGGCCTGCGAAAGCTGGGCGCTGCTTGTTGGCAGTATGGCTGCTTAGTCTCGTTTGGCAAGGGACTTCCCAGTTGCGGCACGATGTTGCGTGGTTCGTCCGTCAATACCACAGGCAGCCACAACCGCATCAGATGCAATCGATCAGGCGAAGTTAAAGTAAACTTAGTTTGCATAAACTTATTTGCTGTGCAACTAGGCAGCGGATCGCATCGCCTGAGTTTTCCTGAGAGCAGAAAAGATTGCGAACATGTGATGGTGTTTTAATCATCTGAATGTTTATCTGCGCTCGTCTAGGTTCTTCTTCCGGCACGTACGAATATGCGAGTTCGTAGACGTGGGATTGAGATATGATTTGGCTGGAGAAATTGCACATCGATTTTGAGTTCGGTCAAGAAATTGTAATTATCTCTAACGCGTGGACAGGTAAGCTGGCACACCACACGATGAAAGACATGAGGATTCTGCACAAGTCTGGTTATAACGAACGTCTACCTTTCTTGTTATCTATGATATATAGAGTGCAATCATTTATATATATATATATATATTTTTTTCTTATGTCTAGATATGATTTAAGGCCTATATTCTTTTAGATTGGGCTAGATAGGAAATAATTTGTTCTCTAAATAGAAGTTAAATTCTATATGAAATATGATTATATATATTCTATAGATTATATCGAAATAATTTAATTAAGAATATTATATTCATTATGGGTTTTGAAATTCTAATTTTTAATGAACAAAAAAAAATATACATATATATATATATAATATTTCGATTTTTATGATACGAATTATGAATTTTTATCTAATAATAAATTGGGATTCTTGATTTTTATATTTTAGCTTATTATATATAAAATAAGAATTTCTTATAATTAATGAATTTATTTTTTATTGATTTTATTAATGCGATTGGGATTATATTATTATTATTATTTATATATAATCTTTTCTGTGAAATATGAAAAATTAAAATATTTTTTATTAGAAAATAGAAAATATTAATTATAATATTATAATTATTTTTTTATTTGTAAAGAATAAAAAAATCGGAGAAGGAATTTGATTTAAAAATTGGAAAATGCGATTGATTTTTATTTCTAAGAATATAGATTTATATATAAATTCTCAGATAATCTCTTGAATATTTCGTTTGGATTGATTTCGTTAAATAAGGATTTCGAATATTGCGAATATTTCTATTTAGATTTTAATTATCTTATGATGATATGCTCTTTGGTAATAGATTTTCTTGGATTATTGGTTGGTGTATTCGGGGTCTGAATAGATATCTATTTTTTTCAGCTATCATTCTCTATATCTATTTATTTATATGACTAATATCTGAGCATCTCCCTCTCTATCTATCGATATATTTTTTTATTTATCTATTATATCTAGCTATTTATTTATTTATCGGTCGTTTAATAGATTTATTTAATTGATTATTTTTTTTTTATTTATCTGTATACTAATTAATATATTTATATATTATTAGATTAATATTTTTTTAGATTGGTAATAGATTTGAAAGAAAATTTTATTATTATTTTATTCAAATTTTTCTTTCAGAATAGAGAATACGGAAATTAATATCTCTTTTCCGACTACTGGTTTGATTATATGATAGTCGTCTATATTAATATATCAATTTTCTTCCTTCAGATTCATTCTCTTATTAATTCGTGATTTTATATTCATCATATTATTAATTTCGAGGGATCGATATTAGATCCGAAGATATTATGCTGACTTAAAACCATGAAATCTTTAAAGATTTTTATAGCGCTTGAATATAAGGAATTATCTTCAATTCGATTTTTCGAAATAAGATTCCTATAAAGATATCAGCATTCATATAATTTATTGAATTATAATTATATATTATAAGATATCGGGGGATTCTATTTTATTTTATTTTTCTTAGAGAAGATCTATGAATTAGATATAAGATTGAGAAAAATTTCATTTAATGGAGAAGCCTTGTAATATTTCAATTAATAAGCTATATCTTGAGATCTAATTTTGCGGATAAGAATTCTATAAAAATGAAGCTCTCATATAGTAGATTGAAATATATTATATGATGGCATAGATATTATTTCTAATAGAGAAGATATATCAATATTAGATAGGAGATCAAGAATATTTTAATTAATATCCTCCGATTTGGCACTCGATATTATTATATAGCGGTCGTCTTTTCTATCTATGATATATTATTATTTGATCCGATAGTATATATGATATAGGGCTGCCGCATGCTTCCTCCCCCCCCGCCCTATGGTATCCCCCTCCTCCCCTTGCGGTGGTATCCCCGCCCTTGAATGAGACTTTGATTGGCCTTGTTCGTAATTGAGCCTGTTGCCGGGGATACTGCTCATGACTCACGAATCGATATTCAGATTATCTTTGATATCTTATTGAATATCATCATTATCGTCATCATCTTTATTATCGAAATAATAAAAAGAATAGCTATCTTCATCGCCATCGCCCCATAACCTTCATAATTAAGTATTGTAATTCGTATCTATGGGGGCAGGGGCGGGGCGATACCTCCAAGCCGTAGTAGCTTGCGACACGATGACTGGCGCCGTGGGTCGTCTAGGCGAGGTGGAGATTACCAAGGGGGCGGGGAGGGGGGGGAAATCTATGGAGGGAGGGGGCCGGGGACACGAGAATATATATATATATTAATCTTTAAATAAAAGATCTCCTTCTAATATGGGTTTATATATCGATAAGAATAAGGAGATTATTGATCGCTTCCATATTCATGTCTAGGAATAGGCTATTCAGACCTAGAATATTTTTTATTATGCGATCTATCGATATTGAATAATTGCCATGGCATTGAAAATTCAATGAAACTGCCTGGAAGCGGGTGGACCACTACAATTTATTCAAATTTCATGATTTATTTATATAGAAGAATATTATTATTGAATATCATCTATGAAATATCATATATTTCTTCTGACTCTATTTTTTTATATTATAATGATTTTATATTGAGATTATGAAATTCCTGATTATTAAGAAATCTACGATTATTGAGCTTAAAATACTAATCTTTTATATGAAATCCAGAAATTATCGAAATAAAATTATTGAGATTTGAAATAAGATTTCGAATCAGATGCTCTGAGAGCCACGAAAGCCTCCAAATTCGAAAAATAAATTATTCAAATCATTCAGATCTCAAATTATCATTCCTATAGAAATAATATGTATAAATATTTCGATATTCGATTAATTTCATATATTTCTTCCCTATATATATGTATAAATATATTCCTCCCGCCCAAGATCTATATCTATTGCTTATCTATGTAATTTTCTTTTAATAATATTATATCAATTTATATCAATTTAAAAACAATAACCAAGAGAAGAAATTTATATTCTATAATATTCGGGAAGCTCCTCAAATTAATAGAAGGATTTTCTCTCTTTCTAGATATCAAATAAATAATAGATGAGTCTGAGGAAATTGATCTATATTTATTAAGAAGATGAATGGAGAGCTAATTAATTAAAAATCGAAAAGCTTTATCTGATGTATAAGAATTTCTTCGAGCTATCTTTCAATATTCTTTCTTCTCAAAAAGGAAACAATTCCATATTTCTTCTTAATAAAAATCTTTCTTTTTATTCATATTAAAAAAATTTTTTTCATATTTATATTTAACGAATCAATAATTTTACCAATTCTCAATTATTCTA